TTAGCCCAGTCCATCCTGACCTTACTGGTGCGTTGGTGAAAAACTAGGAACTGTCACAATTTCCAGGTATTAGATCACATCTTTCCAAAAGAGATAAATACGTGGAGCATTTTATCAGGATGTATCTCTCTGTTCTTACAAAGGATATAATTTCCCATGTTTTGTTTTGTTTTTCAGGTAACCCATATACTCCAGCTAGAAATTTTTTTATTTTCACCAGCAAACCAGTAAGGTCAGGATGGACTGGGTCAGCCAGCCTTTTGTTGTATCTGATTTCATTCTTGGTGGAAACCACTGTCAGAGCTGGGTCCAAACCAGCCTGTCAAGGGAAATTATACGTTGATTGCCTTCACATGTGCTTTAGCCGCCTCGGGACCAAAACCAAGCCTAAGCAAACGCAACGAAGCCAGCTTTTCTAAATAACATTCAACCGAAAACAAATGGCATCCAGTTAATTCCGACTCATATGGACCCTACAGTGCCAAGTCAAATGGTTCTCTAGGGTTTCTCAGGCTGTAAACCTTTACAGGAGCATAAAGCCTCATCTTTCTCCCTTGGAGTAGCTGGTTGGTTCAACCTACTGACCTTGCAATTAGCTTCCCCAACATTACCAATTATGTCACCAGTATTCCTTTCTAAATACAACAGAAGGTTAAAATAGTCCTTTTGAGATGGTATGCTGCCTAGGAGTCCTGGTGGTGTAGAGATTAGGTGTTGGGTTGCAATCTGCATGGTTGGAAGTTCAAAGCCTCCAGCAGTACCTCAGTAGAGAGAAAAGCTGGCCTTTCTATTCCCATAAACAGTTACCGTCTCTCCTGGCCCACCGAGCTTCAAGGACAACATTTCCACTTGGGACAGCCAATGCACAGAGAGGACCTGTAGGGTCGACCTCACCATGACACACGATGTCCCCTTACTGACCCAAAGTGTTACCAGGGACAGCAATAGAGACACAGTGCAAGAATTGTGCCTGATCTGACACCCCCTCACACATATACACACACACACATATATACACCAGAGCATAACACAAGGGAGTGCAAAAGAGTAGCCAGGAGAACCAAAGCAACAAATTCCCTGCGGAATTCTGAAAATAGACTTCCATGGGGGCAGTGGGGAGGTAGGGCTTAGCACCCGATCTGAAAACATTTATAAGGGTCAGTAGACAGACCTGGAACTATTCATAGGGTATATAAGATAGGCAGGATAAACAATTCCGAGGAGAAAACAACAGGACTGATGCGGTTTCGGGGGGACAGGGAAGTGGGGGATAGGAGGGGTGAGCCAACAAACTCAGGGACAAGGGAACAACAAGAGATCTAAAATTGATGGCAAGGAGGGCATAGGATGCCTGGTGGGGTTCAATCAAGTGCAATGTAGCCAAGAGGAAATACAGAGAGCCGAATAAAGGTCGAACATGATAGTGGGACAGGAAGAAAGTAAAAAGAAATAGAGGAAAGAACTAGGAGGCAAAAGACATTTATAGAGGTATAAACATAGGCATGTATATATGTAAATATATTAAGATATAATGATAGGGATATAGGTCTATGTACCTATATTTATAGGTTAAGTATTAAGGTAGCAGATGGACATTGGGCCTCTACTCAAGCCCTCCCTCAACACAAGGACACTTTGTTCTAATAAACTGGCATTCTGTGATGCTCACCTTCCCGACAGGACTGCTGAAGACAAAATGGGTGCATAAGCTAATGTGGTGAAGAAAGCTGATGGTGCCTGGCTATTATAAGATATAGCATCTTAAAGGCTTGAAGTTAAACAAGGAGCCATCTAGCAGGGAAACAACAAAGTCCACATGGAAGAAACACACCATCCTTGTGTGATCACAAGATATACCAACAAGATCAGGTATCAGGCATAAGAAGAACCAAAACAAGCAATTATTTTGATGCGAATGAGGGGGGTCAGAATGGAGACCCAAAGCCCATCTGTAGGCAATTGGACATCCCCTCAGAGAAGGGTCACAAGAAAGGAATGAGCTAGCCAGGGTGCAGTATAGCACTGATGAAACACAACATTCCTATAATTCTTTAATGCTTCCTCTGCCCCCACCACCACTATCATGACCCAGTTCTATCTTAAAAATCTGGCTAAACTGGAGTATGTACACTGCTACAGATAAGACCTCTCAACACACAGAATTCAGGGCAGATAAACCCCTCAGGACCAATATTGACAGTAGTGTTACCATGAGGGTACGGGGAAGAAGGGGGAGAAAGCGGGAACCAATCCCAAAGATCAACATACAACACCTCCCAGGAGGATGAACAACAGAAATGTGGGTGCAGGGAGATGGCAGATGGTGTAAAATATGAAAAATAATTTCTAAATTATCAAGGGTTCACGAAGAAGGGAGGGTGGGGGAAGAAGAGGAAAAAAGAGGAGCTGATACCAAGGCCTCAAGTAGAAAAAAAATGTTTTGGAAATGATGCTAGCATATGTACAAATGCACTTGATACAATTGATGTATGGATTGTTATAAGAGCTGTAAGAGCCTCCAATAATGTATTTTTAAAAAACAAAAATCAGTTACAGTCTTGGAAGCCCACAGGGGGTCACTACTGAGCTAGCACTGACTCGCTGGCAGTGAGTTTGATTTTCTTTTAGTGGGTTACCAGTTGGGCTACTACTAACCACAAAATGAGTTCAAAACCACCAGCCTCTCCCAGGGAGAAAGATGAGGATTTCCATTCCCATAAAGATTGCAGTCTCGGAAACCCATAGGGGTAATTTTAGGCTCACTGTGAGTCAGACACAACTTGATGGCAGTGAAATGTAAATATTATAGCACAGTGTGTGACTAGCTGAAAAGTGAAAGCCTGCTGGTTCTCCAAACAGATCAGCTAGATTCACTGCCTGGATTTTATAATCTAGGTCCCTAATTTAAAGAACTGTGGAGTCGATACGGGGACTATCATTTTATTTCTGATAACTGCCTGCTTGTAGTTGGCTAATATATCTAGTCCTGAGTCTTAAATGCTATGACACAACCACTGTCGTGTCCAATGATTCACCAGCTCCTGTGACAAGAGGGGAGATTAAGCCACAAACTAGTCTCTGGATATTCTGATTTGGGGAGGGAAAATACTGGAAGTATGGGTATCATGCATTAAGATCTATGGTCTGATGATGCCTTGGTTCCTCTTACCATGCTTCCTAAACCAATGCCCAGTTGAATTCCTTCTGTAGATTTGTCATGAGCGCGCGGTCAATAATTACTTGACGCTCTTAGACATTTTCGAATGCTCGGTTTATTCACTGCTAGCACACATCAATCTAAAATATTACTCAAGCTACTAAGGGCAAACAACTATGAGCATAAGGGCAGAATAACAACACTCCTCACACATTTCATAATAGCACCATAGTCCCAATCAGCATTGCCTCATCGGTGTACTCACCCCGGGTAGAGCTGGAGAGAGCAGGAGATGATGTCTCCTTGGTTCCTAGCTATCTGAAAGTCAGTGTCTCTACCTGGGTTTAAATTGACATTTTGGCTAGCTCTTTGACGTCTTCACTGTCCCAGTCAAGTCTTATCGGGTTTTTCCATGCTTTAGGTGACTCGGCTAGCTTTGGGCGTCAGTCAGGTCTCAGCCCAGTCTTATCAGGGGTCCCACCTTTTTGTGGTGGCTTCTTGGATGCAGCTGTTGATTTGGGCTCCAATGTTACATTTTATTTTTTCTTTAAAGTGGAGTTTCTTGTTTGTTTCTCTGATGTGGCTCAATGTCTTGCAAGGAAGTTTGTTTTTTTCTGTTACCTTTTTAAAATTTTTTTAAACATTTTATTAGAGGCTCATACTACTCTTTTTTTTTTTTAAACATTTTATTAGAGGCTCATACTACTCTTTTTTTTTTTTAAACATTTTATTAGGGGCTCATACTACTGTTATCCCAATCCATACACACATCAATTGTGTAAAGCGCATTTGTACATCATTCTCAAAACATTTTCTCTCCACTTAAACCCCCAACATTAGGTCCTCATTTTCCCCTCCCTCCCCGCTCCCCCCTCCCTCATGAGCCCTTGATAGTTTATAAATTGGTATTTTGTCATATCTTGCCCTGTCCGACGTCTCCCTTCACCCACTTTTCTGTTGTCCGTCCCCCAGGGAGGAGGTCACATATAGTTCCTTGTAATCGGTTCCCTCTTTCCTACCCATTCTCCCTTTATCCTCCCTGTTTCGCCACTCACACCACTGGTCCTGTAGGGCTCATCCGCCCTGGATTCCCTGTATTTTTATGGTGCTCTCAAGATTGGCCCCTATGGGCAGGCCGTGCAGCTCCTCCCCGAGCAACAGATAAAGCATATAGCACCTCCAAAACTTGATGAATTGACATAGAGTTCATGCAGGGAAGGAGCCCCCGTGGATGCTGCCAAGTCGGCGTCGGACTGTTCACTACCAAGTCCTAAGTTCAAACCTACAAGACGGTTCCCCAGAAAGATGAGGCTGTCAGCTTCAATATACGGTCGCTATGACTCCGAATTCACTGACTGGCAGCGGGCTGAGGATTATATAAGGCAAGGTGCCCTGGCAGTACAATGGCTAAGAATACTGACTGCTAAGCAGATTTTCAGCAAATGAAACCCACCAGCCCCTCCTCGGACAGTCGACTTCCATAAAGATTTCGACCCCACTGGGGTGGGGGTGGGTGGGACAGTTCTCTGTGCTATAAGGTCGCTGAGTAGGCATCAAAGGGTTTTATGAACGGTCCTTCCACCTCCGATCGGCTGTGGGGAACACAACAAAACCTGGACTTGAAAAGCTGACGCCCCTCTCTAACCACCAGCCATCACGCAGTTACCCCAAACAGAGAACCACGCGGCGCTGCCACTCAGCAGAGCCCGAGCCGTGGGCGTCCATCCGAGATGTTTTTTAAGTTGTGGGCACCATCCTCCCCAAACTCGCTGAGTCGATGCCCACTCAGCCACCTGTCGGGTAGGGTAGAAGGGTCCCTGTGCATTTCCGAGTCTGTAACTGTTTACCGGAGTGGAAAGCCTGGTGGGTTTTCCAAAGAGCGTGTGTCTGGTGGTTTCGAATTGCCGACCTCGCAGTTAGCAGCCCACTACGCTTCACTGGGGCCTAGACTCTGATACACAGTATCGGGATGGGGACCCTGACAGGAGCCTGGCGGCGCCAGGGCAGGAGGCGGGAGGCCCCCCACACCACGGACATTAAGAGCTGCACAAGTTCTTCTCTGGGGAGCCAGGCCTATCTCGTTCCTCGCCACGCGCCCCCTGGCGGTCAGGTGGGCGCCGGTAAAGCGCCTCCCGCGCCCGCGAGATGGTGTTCCCGCGAGACCAGCCGCCGCCGGCTCCGCCCCCTACGTTGCGCCGATTGGGTGGAATCGCGGCCCGCACCGCAGTCACCGCCTTCACTTTTCTTCAGAGTTGTTCACCGCCCCATGCAAGCGTTCGGTCTGGAATGGCTCTTTCCATCAGTCAATCATCTCTACCAGCCAATCACCAGCGAGTGATTCCTGCGCCCTCTCGAGGACGCCGCCAGGCCCGGAAGTTCCTGTCTGGGTCTTGGCGGAGCTGCTGGCGGCTGAGGGCGGGCTGTAGCAGTCTGGCTGATCGTCAAACTGTCCTTCCAGCTGGCTGCTGAGGGAATCGCTCCACTCCACTGCTTCCACGGTGGAAATCCTGAAAGGAAATTATCTCTGCGTAAACTGCGGCCTAGGAGGGGTTGGACCGCGAACGTGGGGTCAGAGCAGGGTGGGGAGCGTCTGTAAAGGGTTGGACAAGTTGGGAGGGCCTGAGAGGGAAGTGGCCGTCACGCATACAGGCAGGGGCTTTGCTGCCTGGAGGGAAAGGGGCCCAGGCTGAATAGGCGCCTGAAGGGGATCTGCTGAGTAACGGTGCCCACTGGCCCCGTCCTTCAGTGCAATAAGCTGACCAAAAAGTGTTTCTGCTGGGGTACTTGGGGTGCCTGGAATATCGCACTCATACCTCAAAAACCCAAGCCACCCTTTCTGTTTTTGATATCAGAGCTCGACCAGGCTGGTGAGAACAGTTTCTTTACACAGCCCAGCGTGTCCCAGCGTCTTACCACTTGCTAAGTAGAATTCCCTTTATCCTGTCTGGGATCTCCCCAGTTGGTCCTAGAGACATAATCTAGTTTGATCCCTGAGAAAATTCCGCATTCCAATGGGTGGGAGATCTGGATATCCCACTAGTGGCTCATTGTCACGTGTATTCTAATGTTGGTCATTTGTGCGTTTTTCCAGGTTGGGGCAATTGCGAATGGTGCTGCCATGAATAATCTTGCAAATGTCACTTTGTAAACTGCACACATTTCTGGAACGTATACTTCCCAGCCTTTGAGTTGATTCCAACTGACAGTGATCAGAGAAAACAGTCAAATAAAAGTTTTCCAAAGCATTTTATTCATATCGTAGCCATATTGAGGGTGTTAGCAGAAATACTCCCATCTGGTCAGCTCTTGTTGGCTTCAGCAAAAAAAGCAGAGCTTGCTTTATTTATGCTTCAGTCAAGTCTTGGGGTCAGAAGCAATCTTTGGTGTTTTTGGTAGATGCTTCGTACGATTGTATAATAAGCTTTAGCTGGTTGATGACTTCTTTGTCTGCTGTTTTCATGTTAAACCCCAACATCTTCATGATGGTTTCTCGAAAGTTAGCAAGCTACAAGAACCAAGACATGTCATTAGTTTTGCTCACCCACCTGTGGCATACAATGAAATTGGTACTAGAAATGTACTCTTAGTAAGCATTTCTTTATGAACTGTATATGCTCCGTGCAAACAGTATTTTTAAAATAAGCTCCTAGAAAAACAAAGGTCTTTTATAAGAAATCTTTGTCTTTTTAACAATGCCTTCAATTTTTCTTATTTCTAAACTTTTATACACTTATTTTGTTATTAATTCATTAATTTACCTTCAGGGTTTCTGATTACCTAGATGATAAACTAAAAAGCTCACTGCCATGAATCAAGTCAATCCCCTTAGATAGGTGCTGGAGCAGTGAATTATGTAATGTGGCTCCTCTAGCTGAAGTCCCTAACTCCCACCAGGTGCCCTTTCCCTGCATGTGTCTGGTAAGGGGAGGGATGATACTGATAGAATTTACCTGTGAGTACTTGTGAACAGGATTCCCTGCAGTGCCATCTGAGAAGGAGAGGGATCACATTACCAGCAAGAGCCAGGAGTGGGCTTCTGGACCCAAGATCCCTGTGCAGTAAACCTCCTGGATCCAGAAGACAGCTAGCTATATAGCAGAGTAGCAGGAACAGGGGCCAGAGGATGGAACAAAGGGATGGACTTCCCAACCCACAAAGCAAGTAAGACTGAGTGTTTTCGTGCAGGTGCTGAGTGTGGTGCTCCTGGGCACTTCATGGGGAGTTGAGTGTGCAGGCCCACGGAATTGGAGCAGAGGGGCTTCAAGGGAATGGCAGGCCCCTTTGGGCTTTTATTAGGAGAACTGAAAGAACTTTGTAACATATCCTGATAAACAACTCAGCCCTGAACATTTCTCACTGGCATTACAATTTACTAACTTTCGTAATAAACCCTTTAGCCATGAATGTTCGAGTTCTGTGTAGCCACTGCAATGGATATTAGAACCCAGAGAGGTAATATGGAGAACATCAAGATTACTGTCAGATTGGAATCCACTCAGTGGCCAGGAATTTTTAGACTGGGGCAGGGTAGAAATGTCCAGAGGTTTATATATCTTTATGGGAGCAGAAGTCTCATCTCTTCTCCCTGTCCTCCCTCCCACATCCAATCGGCAGTTGATTTTGACCTGCTAACCTGTCTTTAGAAGCCCAGCTCAGAACCTACTACTTCTCCAGGGCTGTATGATAGCAGTCCTCTAAATACCTGTCTCTCCACACATCCTCAAAAACCATGGTGATCAGCAAGAAGAAGAAAACCGATGAATCCGGTTTACCGTATACCTAGAGAGCACTACAGGCTTCAATTTGCACTTAAGCAGGGAAATTAATACCCTAAACTAGTAGAGGCAGCTCTGGAGGCCACCCTAGAGGCGACACCTGGTTTCTCCTGGTTGAAAACGCAGATAATTCCATCCCTAGAAACGAGAGGCCAGTAAATAGGAAAATACAGATCATCTGAGACCTGTGGGCCAAGACCACCTGTGACCTGGGGAAGGAAGACAGGAAGGATCATGTGAGCCCATAAGGCCAGATCTGCAGTGTTAGAGGCAAAGTTTTTCAGGGACGAGGGAGGTACTGGGAAGGGAGGCGGAAAGAGTTCCTTGGGGGCAAAAATAGAAAGCAAATATATATTAAGGGACTGCGGTTTTAAAGAAGAGTATCACAGAATCAGACATGATATAAGCTTGATTGAGGAGTCCTTGCGTGGTGCAAAGGACCACTGAGCCCAGGTGGCACAGTGAGTTAAGTGACTTAAGTGTTGGGCTGTTAACCAACAGGTCAGTAGTTTGAAAACAGCAGCAGCTCTGTGGGAGAATGATACGGCTTTTCCTGCCATAAAGATTCACAGCTTCGGAAACCCACGGGGATAGTTCTACTCTGCCACTGTAAGTGGACTCAACACAAGAAGCTTTTGTGGATGGTGGGTGCCTGCAAACAGGTTATATGAATAGCCATTCATTGAAAGGTTGGAGGTGTGAGTGCCCAGAGATCTCTTGGAAGACAGGATTGGTGCTGTATTTCCAAATAATCAGCCACTGGGAATCTTAGGAAGCACAAGTTTACTCAGACTTACATGGGGTAGACATGAGTTGCAGACACCTGGACATTTTAGAAACTGAACTTTAGTGTACCAAGAAGAGGGTGGTGGTGTGTTAAGAAACCTAGTAAGTTGTGGTGTTGCTGGATAAGGATTGACCATAAGGTCAGAGGTTCAAAACTGTCAGCAACTCCACGGGAGAAAGATGAGGCTATCTGTACCCATAAAAATTGACAGCTTTGGAAATCCTATATAAAAACAACACTGTGTCAGAATCCACTCAATGGCAAGTGGCCTGTGTACCTACCCCACTACACTAAAGTAGAAACACCTGGAAGTGCTAGTTCAAGAAAATTCAAGGGATTTAAAATTGAATAGATAACTGGCAACAGTATCCATACAAATCATCTTAAGAACAAAATAGTATCATCCAAACTATTCAGATGAAAATGTGCCTCTTGAATTACCAGGTGTCCAAAGAGGAGAAATTTGACTGTCAGTGTAATAAGGGACACAAAGTGAACACACAGAAGTTTAAGAAAAAGAGAAAGTGATAATATAACTTTTTTTAACATCTTTTAACTGGCTAATTGGTTATAGTTCCAAATTTCTTAAGCACCCAATATATGGAAAGAAAAGTAAAACGCACTGCCATCTAGTCCGTTCCAGCTCACAGTGACCCCGTAGGACAGAGTAGAACTGCTGCTGTGGGTTTCCGAGACTAACTCTTCGTGGGAGTAGAAAGCCTCCTCGTTCTCCCAATGGAAAGTGTTTCATAATTCCATTAGAGCCCAAAATGATTAGTTAGCCTTTTAAAAACTCTAAAACGTTCCCTTTATACATATAATGAAATTTTACGCAACTTTACAAGCACTACCTTATTATCCTAGAAAACAAACACATGATTTAAACTGAATGTCTGCTCTCAGATGATGGTTGTTGGCTGATCGGGTACTAGGAATCAAACCTAGTCTTAAGATCATCATTGCCCACTAGTGACTGACGAGGGATAGGCACCTGACCTTAGCTGAGCCAATAAGATCCATGGAATTCTCATTCCTGACAAACTAAGCATACAACTTTGTAGTGGTCTCTGTTCATGTTTCCTGTCGTGGAGAAAACTGGATGGCAGTGGGACAGACTGAGGATGACACACACACAGGTCGAGAAGAGAAAGAAAGGTTTTACAAGGTCCCGGGTACAGAATACAGTTGATTCTGGGTAGATTTGGTGGTTTAATTCCACTTGGTTTCACAAGTCACCAAATGTCCTCTTGTGTAAGTTAGTCTAGATTGAGGTGGGTGTTTATGACTTCAACTGAGTGTGTTAAGATAGTAATAAAAAAGGACCTCTTGTTCTTGACCTGGTGCATCTTCTGTTGGGTGGAGGTCACAAGGGGCAGCGTCTGACACCTGCTGGGCCTTCTCTTCCCCTGGTCTTGCCTCCTGTTCTCCGGAGTTTCGCAGTGTTTTCAAGGGGCCTGCTTTCATAACTGCCTTCTCTTTCATTGTTGCAACTTCTGTTAAAGATCGTCTGAGCTTTTCCATCGTTTTGTTCTGTGACAGATAGAGTTGGGGGGAAAGGAGGAGATTCCTATAATTAGATGTCTTTTCTAAATAACAGACAGGCATGAGAACCCATGTTGTTGTTTTTTTAAACACCTCTAAGACATTCTCTCATGGGCCTATATGGGGGCCTCTATAAGGATGGTAATAGAAATATTGTTTAAGGCAGCAGAAATGTAAAGATAAATAAATGGAAAGGAAATTTCACAAACTGTTGAAAGCATGGCATTTCTCCACCCAACAACAATATGCATTGCTATCATACATAACCTTTTTTTTTATTGCATATATTTTTTAATCATTTTATTAGGGGCTCATACAACTCTTATCACAATCCATACATACATCAATTGTGTAAAGCACATTTGTACATTATACATAACTTTTTGTATATAGATAAAATTAATACAAATTGGTTTGAAAATCAATGGGAAACATGCTGCTTTGGAAAATTCCACTTGCTCTACTTACTTTCAGGACATTCACTCTTGTCAGTTGAGTTTTCATGTTTTTATTGGATAATTTCAAATCGGTGAGCAGTTTCTGAAGTTTTTGGACTTTCTCCTCCAATCTTTGAGTTGTAGCCATCTGCACATTCTGCCGAATACTCAGGAATATTTGCTTCTCGTCTTTCTCTAGCTGTTGGAACTTCTGCATATGCTCTTCTATCTGGGAATTCATTGTCCTAGAGTTGTCCTTGGCAAAGACCCAGAAGTATTGAAATAAAGAAGTTGTGCTGTGAGACGGTGATCCACACTAGCACCACTTACATCTACTCCAGACTAACACACTGCAGGCTTAACAATACTGACACGAGTAAAACGTTTTCACCATGAACTTGTGTTATGGACTGAGTCATGCCCTCACCCTCCAAGGTGTGTGCTGTAAATCCTACCCTCTATGCCTATTGGCTATAATCTCATTTGGGAATGGGGTTTCTTGGTCAAGTAATAAAACAAGATTAGCGTAGGGCTTGGGCAGGCAGGAGAGAGGAAACGCAGCAGAAGGAACAAAGTATGCAAGGAGTCTCCCAAGAGAACTGTAACACGGCTCAAAGACTGGCCCAAAAGGGACCCAGTGGCAAAGCCAGTGGCCGAGCCAGTGCTGTGTCAGGAGGGACAGCGCAAAAGGGCTGTAGTAACAGACAGCAGAGTCAAGGGAAGTCTGTCCCGCACTACAAAAGGCAGGTTTCGTCTCCATGTTTACTGACCCAGATTCACAAGTGGCAGCCTGTCGATCCTCAACCTGAGTTGTGCCCTGTTCCTCAATAGCCTGCTTAACTGTGAGGTCTGTGTAGTCACTGATGTGAGTTGCCAAACCCAGATGAGAAGAGAGACTGCTGTGGGAGGAACGGCTGGTGTCAGAACTGACAAAAAGCTTAAGACAACAGAAGTCAGTCTGACCTCTATCTCACAGCAGTCAGCCTAGGAAGGATGGTGATTTTCATTATCCCCCTAAAGTCAGGTACCGTCACTACTACTATTAACCCTTTTAAAGCACCTCGAAGACAGCCTCTCATGGGCCTCAATGGGGACCTGTGGAAGGATGGTAATAGAAATACTGTTTAAGGCTGCAGAAAGGTAAAGACATGCTGGGCACTCATGAGAACAGCCAAGGGACCGACAGAATCTGGCAGGTGTGCTCATGGTAGAGTTCTAGTCAACAGGTGTAAGCAACGAACTAGAGTAGTAAGTAGTAATGGTAGATGGAGAGTAACAAGTAAACTGAGTGATAGAACGAGATCTTCAACACAATAGCATATAGATCTATTTGCGCTTGATCTAAAAAAAGCACACTTAAAAGAATACATATAAACAAAAAGAAACACATTAAACCCATTATATTGATTGCCTTTGGAAGGACAGGGTTAAGAGGTGGGGCAAATAGTTAACATTCCAGTTGCTAAGCAAAAGGTTGAAGGTTCAAGCCCATCCAGGGATGCCCCAGAAGAAAGCTGGCAACCTAATTCTGAAAATCAGCCACTGTGAATCCTATGTAGCCCAGTGACCCACACTGGGTTGCCAAGAGTCAGAATCTACTTGATGGAAACTGCTTTTTGGATTTCACTATATCCATATTCATGGCAATAGTTGTGGGAGATGTGCACATTGGTTACGAAGGGGCAACAGGCAGAGAGGGGGCTGGGAAGATTTATAATTGCTTTCCTGAAATAGTTTTAAGGGCTATGGAAAGCATATGTTACTTGTGCAGTCTTAAAATGTAGGATTTAAAAACATCATATAGAAATGAATCACCATATGTTCACCTTTGGAATCTGTAGGGTACATTGTTATCATCACATCACTAAGTGTTGGAAGCTTTAAAAACTGGGTGCTCCACTGAAAGTCTAAAGGCATAACAAGGGGGGGGGGAGGTTGTAGACCACTCCATCCCTGACTACAGGAATAGTAATGTGGACTTTTAAGATGTGCGCCTTACAGGCACAAATGCTGAAGTCTAAAAGGGTGCATGTGTTGTGAAGCGAGACCCGGGATGTAGAACCCTGAAAGAGATGGGGACTGGACTGATAGTTTATAACATGTCCTTCTCCCTATTTAACAGAGAGTATTCATCTACTTGTGTCAGGATCCATGTTACACTGGTGACTCTGTATGTTCTTTGTGTGTGTGTGTTTATCTACACAGGATAGGCAATCTTACAGAGATAGCGAATGGACCAGTGGTTCCTGGGGCATGGGAGAGGAAAGGGTGGGGGTGGTGAGTGGTAAGCCAATAATGACAGGTACAGGGAATACAGATAGCAAGGGCTCTAAAATTGATGGTGAGGAGGGTATAGCTTTTCTGGTCATGTTTGATCAATTGAATGGTATCTGAGAGTAATTACTGAGAGGTGAACAATGAGTAAACATGATTGTGTAGCATAAGGAAAGAAGAAAAAATGTATATATGTAAATACATAAGTATATGTGTGTTTGTTTATATATGTATATATATGCAAATGCAACAAGGAAGCAGATGAACTTTGGGCCTCTACTTAAAAGAATAGTTTATTCTAATAATGTGGCATTGTATGATACTCACCTTCCTGACACGATCACTGAAGACAAAATTGGTGCATAAGAAAATGTGGTGAAGAAAGCTGATGGTGCCCAGCAATTAAAAAATATTGCATCTGGGGCCTTAAAGCTTTGTGGTTAAACAAATAGCCATCTAGCAGGGAACAACAAAGCCCACATGAAAGGCACACCAGCCTGTGCTGATGGGAAAAAGTATCAGAAGATCAAAAACAAGCAATCAAATCCATGTGAAGGGGCATGGATGTAGTGGAGACCCAAAACCACCTGTAAGGTAACTGGACAGTCCCTTTCAGAAAGGCTGGCCACACAGAAGGGATGATAAGTCCATGACTAAGAAGGCAGTCTACAAAAATTGGGAAGGTCACTAAACAAATGGATTACTACAATCTTCAACAATCAAAAAGAACAGCCAACACTGAGGAAGGGAGTGAATTGATTTTCAGAGCTCCCCACCCCCTCCCCCCTCAAAAATCACAAGACATACCATGCAGCAGAATAGGACAGACCATCCAAAAGTACAAAATAAAGTGGCAGAAATCATGTGTAGGGGACCCAAAATAAAGAATTGCCAGAGAGACTAAAAACCATATTACATATGCTTAAAGAGCTGAAGGAAAACATGGACAATGAACTAAAGGAAATCAGGAAAATGATGCATGAAACTTTTGGGAAATCAGAAGCATAAGTTTAAGAACTAACATCAGTGTTTCCTCCTTTTTCCAATGAATAAAAATATGAATAGCTTTACACACAAAGTGAAAGTAATTAATATAATGAAGCATGGTCATTTTCATCATTAAGTAGATACCTATACTTCAGAGAATACTTACTTTCTCCACGTCCAAGTCTACTCTGTCTTGAAAAAAATCATTGATAGCAGTTGTTCCTTCAAAGCATTTCAAGGCTATTTTTTCTTCTTCAGCTTGGGATGATTCTTGAAAAGCTTCCACATAGAGATAATGCAGCTGCTCTAGTCGTTGATTGAGCACTTGAATTTCCTGTTGAAGGCCTTCACTTTTCTGTAGGGGAGGAATATATATATAGGGGGGTGTGTGTGTAAACTTGATGGTACATACTTTCTACTTCATCTCAAATTTATGTGCCAGTTCTTTTTATATGGATATATTGACATTAAATTATTAAATACACTAATAGAGAAGACTTTGAAGAATATTGGACATGTAACATTTTATTTTCAAAAATTTCAATAGAAAATTTTGATATATAAAAATAAGACATTTTTTAGTACTGAGGAACAAGATTGTATAATGAATTTTAAGAGTAAACTAACTATGCAACTCGACAGTAAGCTCACCAGTTTCATTAATACACTGAATCTAATCAATACCTATGTTCATTTGAAATTTAGGGTGAGGAGTCATGAGACTTCCCTAAAATGATTTGGATGCAATCAAAGAATCCACCTAAAACGGTTGACTTAATTATTTGGTAGGCTTGATCAAGTAAATTCAAACAACTGATTTGATAGAATTTACTTTATTGCATTAGCCAAACTCATCAGTGTTTGATCATACAAATATTATCTTTACACACAATTTTCAAGCTAAGATTTGTTGAGCTTACCAGGCATTGTACTAAACTTACTTTATGTTTACCTCTTTCACCCCTACAGCCATTCTGTGAGGTAGGAACTATGACCTCTGCCCCATTCTATAAATGAAGCTGGGGCACAGAGAAGATCAGAACGTGCCCAAGAACACACAGCTGGCAAATGGCAGAGCTTGGGTTTCTGCTGGGCTCTCTGCTTTTAACCACCATGCTACACTACACTGCTACAGTAGTAGACAAACCTCTCCTTTACTCTAATTATGAAAATAAACACAAAGTTAAAACTCAGAGTGACAAAATTTATAAAATTGGCTAATATTAAAATCTAACATAAAAAGAACTAGAAAGAATAGCTTTTCTCTCAATGTACTTACAAACTTCCAAGACTGTTCATTTGCACCAATTTCCTGAATCCTCTGTTTCACAGCTTCCTCTGTGGCTGGTATTGGGACAACACTGTTGCTCAGAAGAATAGCTAATTGATCAAGGAAATTCTGATACTGAGACTGCGTAGTTTGCGTTTCCCCGTCGAATGCACATTGAGGTATGTCTAACTCAGACATTTGTTTTTCCTTGTGGATCAAATCTTGGAGACATTTGTCCCAGATATTCTGTGCATCCTGTGGTCCTTCGAAGTGAAAAATGCCTCTCTCAAGGTTCTTGGTCAGCATAGCTTCTTCCTTATCCTAAATTTGCCAACATACAGGTTAACTTCCCATGTAAAAGTGAATATGGAAACATCTATTTCCCTTCTTTTGAAATAAAGGCAGGTAAAGCAGAAAGCCTCAAGAAAAATGACCCTCAAGTAAAAGAAAGTTATGGAATTATCAGAGAGACAAGAGGAATATATTCCAAAGAGCAAATTAGAACAGCAAGAGATGTTGAAGTATGAAGAAACTATTTTGAGAACATGGAAAAGGCAGCTAACCAAACCGCCCTAGTCAGTGAAGATAAACTCTTTACATTAAAAAAAAAAAAAGTGAGCTAATGAGGTCATCTAAAGTGAAACTATTGGTCTCTCCTCATCCAGGAACAAAAAGCAGTGAAGAAAATCAAAGATGTGTAGAAACAGTTAGTCCAAAAGACTAATGGACCATGCTAACCCCTGCCTGCATGACCCTGAGACCAGAAGAAGTAATGGTGCCCTGTTACCACTACTGACTACTCTAAAAGGGATCATAGTAGAGGTCCTGGATAGAACAAACCTCAATCATAAAAAAGAACAGGTGGACCTCCTGAGATTTGACACTTATACCCTTCAAGCCTGAAACCGAACTCATCCCTGAGTCAACTTCCAGACAAACAACAGACAGGCCTTGAAGGTGAACAATAATTACACAAGGGAGGTACCTACTCCTTAGAACAATCAACCATTCAAGATGAAAAGGGCAGTATTTACCTAGGACAAATTTCAGAAGGCAGAAAGGGTTAGGAAAGGAAGAACAGGAGTGGTAAACACACGGAAGAAGTGGGAAGAGTCCTATTACAGTAATATGGTGGAAATTGCAATCTGTCATAAAAAATGCATATGAATTTTTCATGAAAAACCAATTGCTCTGTGAACTTTTACCAAAATCACAATTTTTTTTTAATAAGTGAAAGAATGATGGAATTTTTTACAACACTTGATCTTAGCCAAAAGGCCAAGAAGTGATGATGGAATTTTTTAAATCAGCATTTTTAAACTGATAAACTAGTTTGGGCACCAGTGATTCCTCAAACCAATAGGGAAAAATTTGCCAGGGAGTTGGATGTTATGATAAAGTCTTAGTTGTGGTCACAGAGCAACATTTAATGATAATGAAAAGCATAAATGAACGACATCAGATGTAGAAGAGGGTAAGAAAAGTAGTACAAGGAATATTGGGTGGGGGTAGAATGAAACAAAGTACCACCAATAATTGAAGTAAAAGGAAATTGCTAATATATTAGGTAACTTATGGTTGAATGATAAATAACATTCTGGAAGGGTAAGGAAAACACATATAGGATTTGTTTGAGTTCATTGGATCTCAGTCTGTCATATCCAAAGTCAAAAGCTGATTTCTAATGTTAATGAATCCAGAACGGCTTTGTATATATACTCATGGAAAAATTGACATTGTGTTGTTAGTTCGCATTATGGCAACTTTTACACAGATACTTTAACAAACAGTATGTTTGTTGCCTAGTCCTGGCCTATATTCATGAATGGGCATATGGTAATCATTGTAGCACCAGTTATAGTATTGAAGCAAAACTGGGGAAAAAAACCCATAGTCATTGAGTAAACTCTGATGCATCCATATACAATGAAACACTATAAATTACTTCAAAGTAGTTATGAACATATAGTTTTACTTTCATATAGTAATTCCAGGGGTTATAAGAGTGATAGTATGCTATATTGGAGAGATGGTGAGTAAAAAATGTGTATGTATTTGCTTATATTGTTAAAGGACTCAATGGCAAGATACACTAAAGAAATTTCCAGTAGTAACCTATAGGGAAAAGGAAAAAATACAGGTCTAAAATCACGAATAGATGTTAGAGCCTTCTCTGGATTTTATAGTTTAGACCATAAGTTCCCAGAGTTATTAGGTCTACTGCCTCCTTTTCAGAAAAAAAGTACTCTGCAACCCTGGCAATGTAAACGTTTGTACTTTAGGTCATAACTCAGGATAAAGGAAAATCTTCAATTCTATTCAATGAACTTGTTAGTATGAATGTGGGCATTGTTAGTTTAAAATCATTGTGCAAGAAGAGAGAATCGCAAACCAAAAATTTATTGTGCATATGTAATAAAGTAAAATGAGTAATTAAGTTAATGTCATAATGAAGGAAAATGAAATAATATCAATTATTCACATTAATTGACCAAGTAAATAAATGTAGCATTGTCAACAGGTGTCAAAAAAAAGGCATCATGACCAGACAAATAGAAGCAGGGAATACAGGGTAGAAATAAAGAGCGCGTTGACACACTGTGGTAATTACAACGAATGTCACACAGCAATTTGTATACGAACTATTGAAGGAAAAACTAATTTGCTATGTAAACTTCCACCTAAGACACAATCAAATGTTTAAAAAAAAAGAAAAGACATCATGTATGCAAGAATAGTGAATGATTTAATGTGGCTTTTCCAACCAAAATCTCTAATTCCCACCAAACAACCTTTGCCTGAATAGGTCTAGTAAGAAAGTGGGGGAGAGCTACTGATAGGATTTACCTGTGAGTAATTGTGAACAGAATCTCCTGAAATGCCATTCTGGTTTGTATAAAATGAGACCTCTGAGAAGCAGGGGGCAGGGTCTCATTACCAGCAAGAGCCAGGAGTAGATCATGTCCTCTGGACCCAAGATCCCTATACAGTGAACCTGCTGGATCCAGAAGGCAGCTGTGACATCAGAGGAGCAATAGCAGCAGATCCAGGAGTCAGAACATGAAACAGAATGGATTTCCTAGCCCACTGAATAAGTAAAGCTGAGTGCTTTGGCACAAGAGGTTGGCTTGTGCAGTGGGGTGTGCCTCTAGCCACTTAATTGGGGAAGCTGGGTTGCTGAATTCCTTCAGGTTGAGGCTTACAGTGGAGTGGTATGCCCCTTTGGGCATTTGTTAGCAGACCTGAAAGGACTGCGGAAAAACAACTGTATCCTGATCATTTCTCACTGGCATTACAACCTGTTAACTTCCTTCATAAACCCTTTAATCTTGAGTATTATCTGTTGAGTTCTGCATAGCCACTGCAAGGGATATTAGAACCTAAAGGTAAAATAGGGACTATTAATTAAGACAACACAATGTACTTCTAGATATGATACCCAGAGGACCAAAAAAAATCATTTATTTAGAGTGCCATCCTGAATCTATTCATGAGGAAATGAAATATTTAAGACAAACTTAAATATCTAAACAACTGGCCTTTGCTTTTAAAATATGACACCATGAAAGAAAGGCTGAGAAACTACATGACAAAAACAAAAAGCCTCTATCGTCATTACAACTAAATACATGTATAAAAAATTCTTGTCTTAAATTCAAAATATATCCAGAATTCGAGATTCATTTTAACCACCATTATCGAACCCAAAGGACAAGATTTTCTTCTGCTCTCAACCCCTCATCAAAGAAGTCTTATCATTTTATTCCCTTCTGGTTTCTATCATCCAATTCTTTACATTTCTCCCCCTAACCTTTCTCTTGTGTCCCCTGTAATCCTTTTCGTTGTAAATATGATGGTGGTTGGAGAATAATGCTTGTAATTCTCCTTTCCTACACCACCCACAGGAGAATTCTACTCTTTTACGTTCAGCCCAGGTTTCCCTCCGCCGTCCCGTCCCCTTCAACTCTGGGAACTGCGTGAGTGGGTAAAGTTCCTGGGCTTTTTGTCATGGGAAACTGGAAAACAAAAGGAGAACTAGAATTGTTGAATTAATGATCAACCTGCATCACTAAAAGGAGAAAAGGGGGCTGACTAAAGGGAAGAAGAAGAAATTTCAAAGCTGACTGGACTCTGGATCTGGGAGAGTTTTTAAAGAGATAGGAGAGATTTGTAAGAGAAGTGATAAAAAATGCAAGAAGTGTTACAGCAAATCACTTGAGCGATACAAATAAAGATAGAAATCACAGTAATTTTAAAAGTAATTGCTGACAGTGGGCCATGTAAGACCTTGTTTTACATTGAGATTATATGATATAATCATTATACAGTTGTTATTATACTATAATATAAACTATTGTAGTCTAAGAATTTGGACACAAACACTGACCATTTCCTTGACAACAGTCTGGCTCCCATCCTCCTCCATCAGGATTCTGTAAAACCTCTTACTCTTCCTATGAATCACTGTTAATTGAGGACCAGACTCACTTTCTTCTAAACCTAACCTATGCCAGATAAAGCAACACCAAAAAACAGACTCACTGCCATTGAGTCAATGCTGACTCAGAGTGAGCCCCTGTGGGTTTCCCAGACTGTGACTGAGCAGGAGTAGAAAGCCCAGTCTGTCTCCCCCAGAGCTAGCTGCTGTGGTTTCAAACTGCTGACCATGGGGAACTCAGCCCAACTCAAACACTACACTCCCAGGGCTCCTCATACAAAGCAATAGACATTAAGATCTCAATGACCAATGTAGACGAACCATCCAACAATTTTGGTTTGTAATTTCTATGCCTCCTTAATTCCAATGACTTTCACCCACAACCCTCTTCAACCATTCACACCAGACCTGGGATTTAGTCATCAGCAAGAACTAAATTCATTTAAAATATAGTATTTTACTCTCTAGCCATTTTCTGTCCTCCCACTTCTCTAACAGCCTCATCTCTATATTCCTTTTTTTCCCCAATATCGCTGAGACCTTCAAATCCTTATTGCATTTATCTCCATAGATCAGAAAGGCTCCCCAGTCAACCAGGCTGTATGGTTTTTTGATTCTCCATTAAGCCATCAATGAACAAATCACTCAGCATTTATCAATTCACTCTTGAAGGAATACAAATCCTTTTTCTTCAAAAGTCAATCAAAACTTGTTCTTACCTTCATCAAGAAAATATCCATAGAATCTTCCTGCTCTTTCATATTCACATAAGGAGTGCATCCGTTGGCAATTATTAACTGTTTTTCCAACATATCAGCTTTATACTCTGCCTTTTCTCTTTCAACCAGATGCACCCTGTGGAGGATTATCAATAGTAACAATATCAGGAAACAACCAATTTAAAAATCCCAGTGAGAAAATAAGAAAATACCTCCATTTAAAGTATCTTTTGTCTCAAATCAAAATGCTTTATGAAAACAGCTGTCCAGTTACCTAAGTATTTGTGGAGGGCAATGGTGGGGTGGGGGAAACCTGTGTTCAGAACTGTAGTAATGCTCCTATGAGAGATCAGTATTGAAGCCATTAGTTTCAAGGGGAAACTTGTGTACAAATGTCTGTCTGGAACTATGGTAATATTGTGATGACCAGAGGTCCTACATAAATACAAGTACTCCTATTTTAACAATACCTGAATGAGAACAATACCTAAATTCAGTTGGGATTTGATGAAGGGGAAAAGAATTAGACCTAATGATAAAGCAATAGCAATGCATATGTGCAAACGTGCTTTATCATCAGATACATAAGTTTTGAAATGCAAAAAGCTAATTATATTTTGGTGCTTATTTTGAGTACTAATTGTGAAAAGTTGGCAATATTTCCTCCCTAGAACTAGGCAACCAATTAACTGTGTAGAGTTGACTCCCATTCAAGTGACTCTCCAGCACAAGGTAGAATAGAATTGCCCAAAGGGTTTCCACGGCTGCCACATCTTTCTCCGCTGGAGCAGAGGTGCTTCATTCATACTGCTGACCTTTCAGTTAGCACTCCAGGACTTTACCCAGAGATCCTCTACCCCAAATGATCCTGGGAATACTTTAACCCTAATTCCATGTTTCTTTTGTCCTCTTCTCCCTAAAGTCTAAAGTTTGCAGAATTAATGAATTGGAGTTTGGTCAAAAGAGATTATGTAAGTTATTCAAGTTTCCTATCAAATAGAATTTAATTTTAAAAAGTAGAAACAATAATGATAATCATTTATAAATTATCAAGGGTTCATGAGGGAGGGAGGGTGGGGAAGGGAGGAGTAAAAAATGAGCTGATACCAAGGGCTCAAGGAGAAAGAAAAAATGTTTTGAGAATGATGATGGCAACAAACGTACAAATGTGCTTGACACAATGGATGGATGCATGGATTATGATAAGTTGTATGAGCCCCCAATAAAATTATTTTAAAAATTTAAAAGTAGAAACAGAATGAGACAGACACAATATTTGAAAGAATAAAAAAAAAGGATTCCTAAGGATTTTCCAAACCTCTTAAAATATGATTCAGTCAGGTCTGAAATCCCAATAGGGTAGATACAAAGAAAGCCATACTAGGCCACGTCATAGTCAAATCACTGACAATTAAAAGAAGCCAGAAAAAGTTTACATAACCTTCAGAGGTACAACAGTAATATGTACGGCTGATTTTTTTCAACTGAAAGTACAAAAGGCAGAAAATAGCTAGTTGATGCTGTAAAAGACTGAAATAAGATATTGCCAACCCAGAGTGCTCTACTCAGGGAAAATACCTCCTATAGATGGTGATGAAAATACACATGGTTTAAGAGGCAAAAACATTTGAAAGAAGAATCATGCCAGAAAGGAAGGAAGGAAGGAAGAAAGAACCACTCATAAGAAAGACCAAGGGAAATGACCCCTGTAACTGCACAGAACTGGAGGAAGGAATGAACACCGCCAGAAAGAGTGACTTTGAAAGGAAACAAAAATTAATACATCAAATTTTAAAACATATACATAACCACACATTTTTATGGGATTCAAAACATGGAATAAAATATACTAGGACAAGGATATGAAACAGATAAATGGATGTCAATTATAATGTCTTAGATTGTACTAAATTAACTGTGTGTTTTATAAACAGAGTTTAGGGTAAAAATGAAATGATCATTTCAAAGTTAGTACAGGAATAGTCTTGGAGGGGGACACTAAGATCCATCAGCAAAACACAATTTATAAAGATACTGGTCTCATTTGAGACGGGTGAGTAGTTTCTTAAAAGCTTGTAAGTGGTATCTAAGAAGCAACTCTTGGTCACTCCCTGCCTGGAGTGAGGAACAGAAGAACAGAGACAAAGTAGAATGCTAGGAAACAATTAGTCCTAAGGGCTAATGGCTCACATGAGCCACACACAGCATCCTCTAACCTAAGACCAGAAGAACTAGATAGTGCCTGGCTGCCACTGTCAATCATTCCAACCAAGGCCACAATAGATGGATCTGGTTAAACTGGCCTTAAAAAAAAAAAAAAGGATCCGATGTCCTGGTTGACAGGAAACTAGAAGCACTCCTGAGACTACTACCCTAAGAAAAGGTTCTAACTTGAAACCAGAGACACCCTTTGGAGGCTACCTTTCAGTCAAATAAGAGAGGGGACTATAAAACAAGCAACTGCTCAGAACAATCAACTATGGAGACCAGTAGAGCAGCGTTTGCTGAAAACCAAAGATGAGATGATAGGAAGGGACAGGAAAATCGGACTAATGAAAATGGCTGTCAAAAAAAAAGAAAGAAAGGAAATGGGTTGTCAGGGAGGAGATAGGTATAATGTTGACACACTGCTGGGATTGGAACCAATGTCACAAAAGAGTTTGTTTATGGGTTATTGATTGAGAAAATGAAACTTCACCAAATGCACAATAAAATGTTTCTTTTCTTTTTTTAAAATTGGAGGGAGGGGAAAAATGAGGACCTAATGTCGGGGGTTTAAATGGAGAGAAAATGTTTTGAGAAACGATGTACAAATGCGCTTTACACAATTGATGTGTGTATGGATTGGGATAACAGTTGTATGAGCCCCTAATAAAATGTTTTTTAAAAAAATAAATAAATAAATATTAAAAAAAAAAGAATTACAGCCTCAAAAAAAAAAAAAATCATTTTATTGGGGGCTCATACAACTCTTATCACAATCCATCCATACATCCATTGTGTCAAGCACATTTGTACATTTGTTGCCATCATCATTCTCAAAACATTTGCTATCTACTTGAGCCCTTGGTATCAGCTCCTCATTTCTCCCCTCCCTCCCTGCCCCCCCTTCCCACATGAACCCTTGATAATTTATAAATATTATTTTGTTAAAATGTTTGTGTGTTTTTATTGTTTAAGAGGAAGGAGGTATCATTTCCCTTTCTGAAGGACCTTTTCTTGACAAGTAAGCGGAGCCCTTGAGGAGAAGAAAAAGTATTGTGACACCTCATGGTCATAATGAATTCTCCTATTCTGACCTAGAAATAAATGCCCCCATAATTAAGCATAAAATGCTTTAACTAAATAAATAGTTGAAACAGGAGAAGATGAAAAATAGTAAGAAAAAAAATACACCACCACCAACAAAATAGCAATTCAAAATGAGGTGATAAAGGAATAATACAGGGAAAAAGAACAGATGGATAAATAAGCAATGCATAACAATATGGTAGATTTTTTTTCAATATGGTAGATTTAAATCCTACAATTTCAGCAGTTAATTTGGAAGTAGATGGTCTGAACATTACAAATAAAAGGCAAAATAGACAAAATAACTAATGAAAACAAAATAAAATTTAAAAAAATACAACTGATACAACCATCACCAAAAGAGATGCTGAGGCTGCCTACATAAAATAAAGCACCTCGTGGGATACGTTCCTGGAGTTGGAAGTTTAGTGTCATGGTTTCATGGGACTTCCCAGTAAAATGGCATAATAACGTGTTTAATGCCTCTGTTCTACCTCCTAGTTCCTTGAGAAATTCCTGGAGTCCAAGTTTACAAACAGTCAAGCAAAGCACAATTGGTCTCTACTGCCCTGGAGCACCTGGGGAAGGAGAGGCAGGAATAGGCGAGGACACAGAATGGGTGGCTAATTGCCCCTATGAACAAATGCCTTCTTTACCAGGAGACCCAAGGAATTGGGTGCGACTTGCCTACCATTACTGAGCATTATGTACAAAGATTCGTTAGAGGGATCCTGATCAAAATGGAGAAAATGCAGAACAGAATTTTTTATTCTCACGGACCCTAAACATCTGGAGCCACGGAAGCTGGATAAGTTCCTGAATCATTTTGCCCTGAAAACCTTGAACCAAAACTACTGCCTGAAAACGTCTTCAAACAAAACAATCATGAACTGTTTTTTTTAAAGTTCGCTCATGAGCATTGTGCTCTTTTCAGTCCTATCTGTATGGGCTAAGAAGGAGCCCCTGTGGCACAGTGGTTATGCATTGAGCTGCTCACCACAGGGTCAGCAGAACCCACCAGTCTGCTCCTGGGGAGAAAGAGGAGACTTTCTGCTCATGTAAAGACAATTGATGTATGTATGCATGTGATAAGAGTTGCATGAGCCCCTAATAAAACGATTAAAAAATAATAAAGATTTACAGTCTCTGAAACCCACAGGCAGTTCTACTCTAGCCTATAGGGTCACTAAGAGTTGAAATCGCCTGGATTTCAAGTCATAGCAATCCCAGGTGACAGAAGTATCCTATAGGATTCTCTTGGCTCTAATATTCACGGGGAACTACTGGTTCAAAATGCTGACCTGTTCTTTAGCAGCCATGTGCTTAAGCAGTGTACCACCAGGGGGCCTTCTTTAGCCATTAGTAACGGACCCACTGCCTTGGAGAGATTCCAATCCATCGTGATCCTCCATGGGGTTTCATAAGCTATAAATCTTTATAGGAGCAGGAAGCCTCCACTTGTTCCTGTGGAGCAGCTGGGGAGTTCCAAGTGTTGATCTTGTGGTTAGGGTTAGCATCCCAACACATAACCCACTAGGGGCCAGGGCTCCTTTGATTAAGCATTAGCCATTGTCATTGAGTTGAGCAGCCCTAACTAGGGTTTCCAAGGCTGTAAATCTTTCTAGAAACAGGCAGCCTCATCTTTCTTTCCCAGAAAGGCTGGAAGTTTGAACCTCCCACCTGGTGGTTACCTGTCCAGTGCTTACCTGACAATTTTTCCTTTTCATTCTCCCCAAAACCCAAACTCACTGCCATCTAGTCAATTCCAACCCACAGTAACCCAATGGCCACTGTAGAACTGCCCCTTTGAGTGTCCAGGCCTATAGATCTTTACAGGAATAGAAAGCCTTAGCTTTCTCCAATAGAGCAGCTAGTGGTATCCAACTGCTAACCTTTGCAGCCCAACGCGTAACCTACTGTGCTTCCAGAGGACCTCTTGAGTCATTCTCTCCCTCACCACCATCAAGCCGATGCCAGATAGAACTGGCCCTGTGGGTTCTGAGATTTGTAACTCTTAATGGGGTAAATACTCCTATCTTTCTCCAACAGAGCCACTGGTGTGATCGAACTGGTGATCTTAAGGACCTCAGCCCATCGAGTAACCAGGGTTCCTCTTTAGTCACTAGGCCAATCAAAATCAAAATCACAACAATATACCGCAGTATAACTACTAGATGGAGATACCCCAAAGACAGACAAGGCTTGTGGAAGGTGTGGATAAATTGGAACCCTTTATGCATGCATTACTGGGAGCCCTGGTGGTATAGTGGTTATGCACTGGGATGCAATCTGCATGGTCAACAGTTTAAAATCTCCAGCAAATCTGCAGGAGGAAGACTGGGCTTTCTACTCCCATAACAGTTACAGTCTTGGAAACCTACAGGGGGTCACTATGAGTCAGCATTGACTCAATGGCAGTGAGTTTAACCAAACTCACTTTTTTTGTTGTTGGGGTGGTTATGCATTACTGATGGGAATGTAAAATGGAGCAGCTACACTGGAAAACAGTGACAAGGTCCTGTTTAAAAGGTCAGACGAAAAAAAGAAAAGGGCAGACAAGCCCCAATAAAATGATTTTTAAAAAAAAGGTCAGACATGATCCAACAACTCCATTCCTTAGGTATGTATACCCAGAGAAATCAAAACATGTATTCACATAAAAACTTGTTCATGAAAGCTTATAACAGAATTATTCATAGCAAAGTAGAAGCCCAAATGATCATCAAATGAACAGATAAACAAAATGCACTATATTCATATCTCACTGCCATTGTCAACTCTGACTCATTCCCCCTACAGAGCAGGGCAGAACTGCCCCTATGGGTATCCGAGACTGAAACTATGGGAGTCGAAAGCTTCATCTTCGTCCCTCGAGGAGCCCTACTGGGTATTGGTTACACACGGTGACTTAAGGTCACCATTTCGATCCCACCGGCAGTTAGCTCCATGGGAGAAAGACTGGACTATCTACGCCTGTAGAGTTACAATCTCAGAAGCCCACAAGGTCACTTCAATCCTACCTTAAAGGGCCGCTGTAAGTTGGCATTGACGCGATGGTAGTGAGTGAGAGAATGACCTAAGAGGTGCTATGAGTTGCCATTGACTCACTGAGTTATATTCATATATTCATAATATTCAGCCATAGAAAGGAATGAAGTATGGATACATGCTGAATGAAAGAAGCCAGATACAAAAAGCCAGTCCATTCATACAAAATGCCTAGAAGAGGCAAACCCACACAGATAGAAGAAGGTCCATGTTTGCCAAGACCTGGGAGTGCGAGGAGGGGAGTGAGGAATGGCTGCTAACCGTTTGGGGTTTCTTTGGGGGGTGACAAAATATGCTGTGGGACACGGGTAGTTCCACCTTGTCCAACAGCGTCACTATGCGTTGGAATTGACTTGCTGGCGGTAAGTTTGCTTGTTTGGCTTTGGTGTTTGGATGGATCTACAACCACTAAATCAAAGATAGACAAGGTGACTTCTATGGCCAGTGAATTACACGTCAATTTTAAAATGTTTTCATTAAATTTAATATGGTTGGGTCTGGTATCAAGTGAAATTCGAGTAGATTTAAATTTTGTGACCAATCAGGAGTATGGGATTCTTTTACTATTTACAAACTAATGACAGACATATTTGAAGAACAAAGAAACTGGAAGGTTCCCTACCTTAAACGATTTTCTAGTTCTATAATTCGTTCAGTTAAATCCCAGTTGCCTCTTTCAAGATTCTGAATATTGGTGTTTTTCAAAGACTTAATTCTGGTTAGCGAAGCAATAAGTTCCTCGAGGTCCTGAATGTCCTTCCTCAGGGACAGGATCTGGAACAGCTGTTGCACGTTATTTTCCTTGTAACTTTCTAGCTCAGATTTCATCTCTTGCAATGAAGTTTCTTTGACGAGAAGTTTGTTTTGAAGATTTCTTAGCTAATGAGAAAGGGAAAATATTACTTACAATCATTTATCACTGATTTTTTTTTAAGTCGGGATTTTAATATCTTAATGGGTATATTTATTTAAGCTATGCAGTATTATATAATAAAATGAAGCCTTTCAAATATAACAAGTGTATTATAGTGTTAGAAACATTTTTAAAATAAAATTAAATTGGCACATATGGCATGGAGCATGATTTTACTCTTATCAACATTAAAACTTAAATCTTTTGTTTAACTTTTGTTACTAGAGTACCAATAGTGAATTCTCTAATCCCCACCAGAAGAGATATGTATCTGTGGGTCACAGAAGTTGTGCTTTACAATGTGACCTGCAGGGGGCATATTCATAGTCCTCTTACCTAAAAGGAAAAGAAAAGAAAAACTCACTGCCATAGACTCTACTCTGACTCATGAGATAGTGACTCTTCATGGGAGCAGAGAGCTTCATCTCTTGGGGTGCTGCTGATAGTTTGAACCGCTGACCTTGGGGGTAGTAGCCCAAAGCATAACCACTACAGCACTAGGGCCCCAAGCCTCTATAAAGGCCTATGGTTACACCATTTGGTTCCTGGCCTTATTTGTGCTGATCAAGAAGTAGGTGTACAGAAGGGTCAGGAGAAAGAGCAAGGCTTCAGTTTATTAAACAGGCAATTGATTTAAAGGCAGATAAAGGAAAGAAGAGATTGTAGAGTGATGGATAGCTTGTGGGAGGAAAAGTGACCCAGGAGAGCCAGCACAGTTTGGTTTTTGAGGAAGATACCGAGATGGAAATGGAAACAAATAGTGTTATAACAAAAATCATGTTAAACCACTAATAAAAATAGATTGAAGTCTACTTAATATATAATTTTCAAACCAGACTCACATTTCACCTAGCAAGTCAAAATTGCTCCAAAGAAGAATTTCCAAAGCTTCTCATAGTAGGCATGTTGTCAACGTTGCCATGGAAACAGGGCCAGACTCGTGTTTATATAACAACTACTTATCCTGAAATACTGCTTCTAATTTGACCTTGGACACTGACAGCACATAGACTCTATCTTCAAAAGAACACAGCACCTAAGACAAAAGCTCCTTTCCAGTGTTTCTAGACCAGTGTTTGACCCGGGTGACTTTGAGAAACCGGTTCTCTCAAGGACCAAAGTCCAATGATCATCCCCGGGCAAAGGCCTGATAGGTCACCCCCACCTCCACGAGATCTAGAAATCTGGATATCACAAGAATGAAATTTCACCTCTCAATGCTAAATTGCTTATCATCTAAAGTCAGTTTTTGAGGATGTTGTGACAAAATTCTGAAATCTGTTTTGCTATTTCAAGCAGTAGGGACAGAAGTCCGTAACAACTCCAATACTTAAGTGTTCTACAACCAGTAGTAAAGTAATAAGCTTAGTGAATTAATTCTCTGCAGAAAGTATTCAAAACCAAACCAAAAGTTTCTGTAAAGAGAACTCTGCCTCCTGCAATACCAGCTAATAAAATGCTTTTAAATCCTTATGCTAACTCTGAGATGGAAATCTGTACATGAATGTTCTCAGCAGATTTGTTTATAGCGGCCAAACATAGGATACATACATCAAGTTAGATAAATGCCCAGGGAATTATATCAAGTGAAAAAGCCCATCCCAAATGCTCTATGTGCATGATTCCATCTACATAACATTTGAAAACCAGCTTTACTGAGATACAGCTCATAAATCCACCCATCTGAGTACACAGTTGTTTTTAGTATATTTACAGAATTTTGCATCCACATTGGATTGGGGTTTTCTCCCCCTTTTGTTTATTGAACTATAATCCACATACCATACAAACCACCCTTCTTAAAATGCACCCTTCTTAAATTAGTAGTTTCTAGTCTTCTCACGAGATTGTCCAACCATTAAAAAGAAAAATGTTACTGTCTAGTCAATTCCAACTCATGGCCACTCTAAGTGGTGAAAAGTAGAACTGTCCTCCAACCACTCCATCGTCACACTCTTCAATTCCAGAACATTTCATCCCCACCGCGAGATACCCCATTAGCAGGCTCTCCCCATTTCTCCCTTTCCCCTAGATCCTAGCAACCTTGAATCTATTTTCTATTTGTATGGATTTTGTCTGTTCTGGACATTTCACATGAATACAAACATAAAATATGTGTAATTTCTTTCATTTGGCATCATGTTTTTGTGGTTCGTTCATCTTTTTCGTATGTATCAGTACTTCATTCCTTTTATGGCTGAATAATATTCCATTGTGTCGATAATGTTTTGCTTAACTATTTATTAGTTTGTGAACACTTTGTTACTCCTTTTCTACTCTTAGGAATAATGTTATAACCATTCATGCACATATGTTTGTGTGATCATATGTTTTAAATTTTCTATTTACCTAACAATGGAGTTGCCAGGTTATACTGTTACTCTATACTAAACTTTTGAGGATACAGCAATTTTTCAACCTACATTTTTTTTAGGTATAGGAGAGAATCATAGTTGACAGTTTGGAGGTAGAAAGGAAGTAGGTATGGCTATAAGGAAGCAAGCAGGAGGGACTCTTGTGTTGGAATTATTCAGCCTCTTGACTGCAGTGAAGGGTGCTTGAAGAAGAATGATAACCTTTCATAGAATGTAACACACATGCACAGGGAGTACAAGTAAAACTGGGGAAATCTGAATATGACTGGTGAACTATTGTAGTGTCAATACTCTGATTATTCTATTAACTATAGTTCTATGAAGTTTTACTGTTAAGGGAATGAGGAAAAGTGTCCCAGGGATTTCTCTGCTAATATTTCTTATAACTGAAAGAGAATCTATCATTGTCTCAATGAAATTTTCAATTAAAAATAATAATCAATTCTAGTGTATATATTTTAGAGCCCTGATGGCATAATGGTTGGACTGTAATCCACAAGGTCAGCAGTTCAAAACCACCAGCTGCTACATGGGAGAAATATGGGCCTTTCTATTCCCATAAAAGACTTACAGTTGGGGGAGGGAGGGTTAAGAGGAGCTGATACCAAGGGCTCAAATAGAATGTAAATATTTAGAAAATAATGATGGCAACATGTACAAATATGCTTGATACAATGGAAGTATGGATTATTATATGAGCTGTAAGAGCCCCCAATAAAAGGATCTTTAAAAGAGAGAGAGAGAGAGAGAGAGAGAGAGAGTTACTGTCTCAGAAACTGACAGAGGGAATTCTACCTTGTTTAATCGGGTCACTATGGGTTTGCCATCTACTTGCAGGCAGTGAGTGAGTTTGGTGTACATATTTTATCTTCAAAAATGGTATTGTAGAAAACACCATCTATTCACCTCTTCCAGGACTGGCTGCACCTTCTGGGTTTCTATTAATGTGCTTTATTACTAGGCTATGGGAAGAAAAACAGCATATGTGTATAAACACTCTCTTAATCCTCACACAAATTAAGCACTCTCTAAATCCTCACACAAATTAAATTTTCATGAAAACCAAAAAGAAAGTTCTGGATAACACATGAGATTTCTCTTAATTTAGGGCACTGGGCTGTTGGTTACAATTTTTTCATGTTATTTTAACTTATTTCTGCTATAGCAACAACCTATTCAGCACTATGCAAATGTTAGTTCTATATCACTGTCCTGGTGGCACTGTCCAATAAGTGTGGGACTGCTAACAGAAAGGCCGTGGTTCAAACCCACCAGCTGCTCCACACGTGAAAGAGGAGGCTATCTGTTTCTGTTACAGCCCGGGTTCTCAACCTGCCTAATGCTGAGACCTTTTAATACAGTTTCTCATGTGGTGAGCCCCCAACCATAAAATTATTTTCATTGCTACTTCCTAACTGTAATTTTGCTACCATTATGAATCATAATGTAAATATCTGATATGCAGGATGTATTGTCACTGTTAGAGATTGAACATAATTAAAGCATAGTGATTCATCACCAAAATAATATGTAATTAAATATTGTAAAATATTTATTTCTATGACAAATAAAAGAAATTTTGTCTTGAAGCATGGTGTAGCATGGCTAACAGTCCTCACACCAGGTACTCATATGTGAGCATATCTGCATATGAGCAGACCTGCCTGGAGACAGACAGAGGAGTGGAGTCTCAGTTCCTAAGACCATTGGAAATATGTGTTTTCCAATGGTCTTAGGTGACCCCCAAAGAGGTCGCGACCACAGGTTGAGAACCGCTGCTGTAGAGGGTCCCTGTGAGTCAGAATTGACTCAATGACAGTGGGTTTCATGTGGTCTAACTTAAGGCAACATAATCTCCGAGGGAACATGTTGACCTTATCCCTTTTATATCTGGCTGTTTCCAAATAGCTTTCTTGCAGCTGTTTCTCTAATACTGTAAACCAAAAGCCAAAACTCACTGCCCTTTAGTTGATGCCAACTCATAGTGACCCACTATGTATGCCACCAGGACTCCTTTGGGCAGAAACACGTGATGATAATTTTTTAATGTCCCACAAAGAAATGAAATTAATTATTACAAAAAATATTAAATGCAAGATGTAAACAGAAAAATTGCCTTATCAAGGTATTTGTATTCCTATAGAATTAAATAACAAGCATGAGCCCCTAATAAAATGATTTTTTTTAAAAAAGAATTAAATAACAAGCAATGGAAAAGGTAAAGATGACTCATGCTGAAGGTCAAATAGTCTGTTGAAATCATGACTTTTTTTTTTCCAGGCAGGGGAGTGTGCGGACACAGTCCCGCACCACCACAAATTATGTTGCCGAGTTTCCCACATTTGGTGAAATCACAGGACTCAGCACACCCAGAGTGCACTGGGGGAGCCTCGCCCTGGGAAAACCACCTTCATGATCACGGCGTCTCCCCTGCCGGGTAAGTATGAAATCACTACCTTTATAACAAGAAAAAACACTGCCACAGGGAAACCACCAAAAATGTCATAAATCCATGTCAAATGTAGAAAACAGTCATATGGAAACATAAATACATACTTAGATAGTATCTAAAAGCAGGCTAAAATGTGCCCTTGTCGAGCCTTTTTGATACTGCTTTGACGATTGAGAGGAGCTCTCTGGCGAAGTAGTCATTCGCTATCGGGCTGCTGGCCACCAGGTCAGCAGTTTGAAACCACCCGCTGCTCCGAGGGAGAAAGACAGGCTTCCTACTTTGTAAATCGTCTCAGAAACTCACCGGGGCAGTTCTGCCCTGTCCCATAGGGCTGCTGTGAGTCAGATCAACTCAATGGCAGTGAGTTGAGTTGCTGACTAATTGATTAAACTACGTATACTTAGCATATGATTTGTGTGCATGTCGAGAAGGCATCATGCTTGGTAAAATAGAGGGACAAAGAAAAAATAGGGAGGGCCAAGATGAGATGGATTAATACAGTGGCTGCCACACTGTGTTCATTCAAACAGAAGAACAATTGTGAGGATGGTGCAGGGCGAGGCCGCACTGACTCCATGGCACCAAACAACACAAGACGTGCTTTTAAAAAGTACTTTGAACTTTTAAAATAGTTATTGTTGTTATTCTTAGGTGCCATCTAGTCCTTTCTGATTCCTAGCAGCCCTCCTTTCAACAGAAAGAAACACTGCCCAGTGCTGTGCCATCCTCCCAATTGTGGTGTGTGAGCACGGTCGCCGTCACGGTGCCCATTCAGCTCGTTCAGGTCTTCCTCATGTTCGCTGGCTCTCTCCCAAGCACGAGGTCCTTCCCGGCGCTGGTCCCTCCTAGTGACATGCCCAAAGTTTTGAGACAAAGTCTTGCCACCTTAGCTTCCAACACAGATGTGCTCATTCTTCGGGCAGTCCGTGGAATACTGAATATTCTTTGCCAACAGCCTCATTCGAAAGCCTCCGTTCTTCTTCAGGTCTTCCTTTCTCATGGTCCAGAGTTCACATGTAAATGAGAAACAAACAAACAAAAAACCAAAACCTGACGCCCAGTGACTCCATAAAACAGAACAGAACTGCCCTTGTGGGGCTCCAGGACTATACCTCTTAACAAAAGTAGAAAACACCCTCTTTTTCCCGAGGAGCAGCTGGTGGTTCCAAACATCTGACCTTGTGGTTAGCAGCCGAATGTGTGACCCACACACCAGTGGAGCTCAGTGCTTGGGTCAGGTGCACTTTAGTCTTCCAAGTAACACCTTTGCTTTTTAACACGTTTAAAAGATCTTCAGCAGTAGGTTTGTCCAATGCAATGTGGTATTTGATTTCCTAACTATGTTTCCATGGGTATTGATTGTGGATCCAAGAAAAACGAAAATTCTTGACCACTTCAACTTTTTTGCTGTTTATCATTATGTTGCGTATTGATCCAGTTGTGAGACTTTTATTTTCTTTATCATTGTATTAGTCTGGGTACTTGAGAGAAAGAAATCCACAGAAACTCATGTATAAGAGAGAGTTTTAGATAATAAACGGTAAGTGCACCTCAAGAAAACATTCCAACCCAGTGCTGCCCAAGCCCACAAATCCAACATTAACCCATATATCCAACACCAATCCACAAAGTCCTCCTCCATCTCACAAAACACACACAATGACACTGACTACAGGAGGAAAGCCGAGTCAGTGAACGTGTAAGCATCTCAGTGCTGGCAGGGGTCTCCACACAGCTACTCCAGCACCAAGGGCTGCATCGGGATAGGTCCATGTGGCTTCTCCTCAGGGATGTCTTGCAGGAAGTGGGCCTTGCCAGCTGAAGCAGGGAACTGGCTAAGGCAGCTGCACCCTGGTCCGACCATCAGAAAACAAGAGATCCAAGATCTAGACAGGCGAGGCTCATCGAGCCATTTATCTCTCCACCTTTCATTTAACCCCACATGTGTTTATCGGCTAGGTTGGCACAATAAACTAACTACCTCAATCATGAAGCACAATCCATACCGAAGGCTGTGGTCTTTTATCTTCATTAATAAGTACTTCAAATTCTTTTCCCTTTTAGCAAGCAAGGTGTGTCATCAACATATCACAGCTGTTTGTGAATCTTCCTCCTATCCTGATGCTATATTTTTCTTCAATAGTTCAGCTTCTCAAATTATTTGCTCAACATATGGATTAAATATGGTGAGAGGATACAACCTTTTGCACATCTTTCCTGGTTTTAAACCACTAAGTATCTACTGGTTCTGTTTGAATGACTGCTTCTTAGTCCATATACAGGTTCTGCATGAGCACAATGAAGTGTTCTGGAATTCCCATTCTTCTCAATGCCACCCATATTTTGTCATTATCCACATAGTCCAATGCCTTTTCCATAGTCAATAAAATACAGGTGAACATCTCTCCGGTAACCTCTGCTTCAGCCATGAGCCATTTGATACCAGCAATTATCCCGCATTCCACATTTTGGATTTTGCTTGAGTTTCTGGCCATGTTATGTGGTTGTATTGATGCATAAATTATATAAGCACTCAGTATACTCCTTACATAATTTCTTTAAGCAAGGTATCTACAATCTTTCTTGACAATTTTGAAAGCTTTTATTAATAATGGAGAGATACATTTTAAATCAAATCTTAACTATTAATAAAACAAATTCTTTTTTTTTTTAAGAAAACAAATTCTTAAGCAGTAGTTGTAAGGTTAACTATAGAGGAAAAGAATGAGGATGCCAATCACAATGAAAGTGGCCAGTTTCAAAAATTGGTATCATACTTTTCTGGAAAAAAACAACAAATATACAACATCTCTCAAAGTCTTGTTAAGATTTACTGTGGTTATGTAAATTCCATCCAAATGTAAGCTCCATTCATCTCTCTCTGTTAAAAGCCAGAAAGCATGACCATAGATAAAATTGGAAGGTAGGCATTTATTCAGTAACCCCGGAGATGCACAGTGGTCAAAGGCCTGTGGTGTGAACCCACCAGTTGCTCTGAAGGAGAAGACGTGGCTTTCTACTTCTCTAGACAGAGAGGTATAGTCTTGGATACCCCTTGGGGCTATTCTACTCTGTCTTATAGGGTGACTAGGAGTTGGAATCAACTTGACAACATTGAGTTTATATTTATCTTCATCTAAATGTATATCTCTTTAAGTAAAACCTGGTACTAGGCTACTGATATTTGAAATGGCAAAAAAAGAAAAGACCTTTAATAAAGTCTTGGGCAGAAAAGAGGCCCAGGATAATAAGGTCACTATAGAAAGCTACTTTCACCACCCATCTGTCAGTGTATTGCCTTGTATTGGCTTGCATGTGGCTATGATGCTGGAAGCTATGCCACTGATATTTCAAATTCTAACAGGCTCACCCATGCCAGACAGGTTTCAGTGGAGTTTCCAGACCAAGGCAGACCAAGAAGAAAGCCCTGGGGAGACTGCTTCTAAAAATGAAGCAAGGAACACCTTCTGTATCTCAACAGAACACTGTATGAACAGCTTCCTTACTTTGGTCAAGTCATCCAAACCACACTGGCACTGAGTATATTCCACCGTCTAGTGCCTTAAAGGACAGAGTAGACCTGCCCCTTTGGGTTTACAAGGCTATCAATCTTTACGGAAGCAGAAAGCCCCATCTTTTCTCCCAAGGAGCAGCTGGTGACTAACAGTCCAGCACATAAACCACTAAGTCATCGGGGCTCTTGATGATGTTATCAAGAGGGAGCAATCACTCGAGGCCAATGTTTGTGGTAAAATGAAGGACCAAAGAGGGCAGGGAAGACCCCAGTCAGAGGAATTGCCCCGATGGTCACAACGAGGAACTGAAACGACTGACAAGTGTGAGGAAGATGTAGGAGTGGCCAGCATTGGTCCTCTAATACATCAGGTTGCCAAGAGAGCCAACTTGATGACAGCTAAGAACAGAACGCGCTTACATAATGGGATGGTAGGTGATCTATAGATGTAAATATGCTGAGAACATTTTTATAGAAAACCAGAGAGGACAAACTAAAAATCCAAATTCACTGCCATTGAGTCAGTTCTGACTCATCTGGACGTTACACAGGGCTTTTCAGGCTGTAAGTCTATGAGAACAGAGAACTTCAACTTTCCCCCACAGAGCAGCTGGAGGGTTTGAATCACTAAACTTTCAGTTAGCAGTCCACCTGGGCTCCTTACCATAGAGGCAGAATGGGCATAATTAGCCACATCGCAATGCTCTCAAGGATGACAATGGCCTTTGAACTTCGGACTTTGTTTACCTGTGAGACTGTCTCACCTTTTACAAACATTAATGTCTCTTTTTTTATCTAGTGGTGTTGCTCAGGTCTTCCATCGAGTACTAAATAAAATCAGTACATCTACTAATGATATATTGGAAATGAGAATTCATTCTCTCGTAAATTGATTCAATACATGTCACTTGTAACTATTATTATATAAATTTTGAATATAGCAGCCCATAGCAATGTTCTAGCACAGTGTTGACCAACATGGATGGATACTGTCCCGTGGGAGACACTGTAACAATCCGAGGTGGCTTGCAAAAGCAGAACCTACACTTTATCCTGAATGATGGGCTACAGTATGAAAGTTAGTCATTGCCAGTGGGGCAGGAGTAATTTTTTCTGGAAAGGGGGCGGTAAGTCAAGTTAGTTAGGAACCTATCTTACCACTTCAGCTTTTGGCAGAGAATTCAAACGCACTTAACCATGCACAATCTATGAAGGGGCTGTCTGGCAAAAGACAGGTTTAGGTTGAACTAGGTGTTCTCTAGTGATAAGAAAATTCCGTATTTGGGAAAAAGCAAACCTGAGTTAAGATACTACTGAGCCTCTTATCAGGATGTGTCTTTCCCGGCTCTTCCCAAGGACATAATTTCCCAAGGGTTTTAACCCGTATACCTCAGCTAAAAGATTCTTGTTTTTCACCGAAAAACCAGCAAGGTCAGGATGAACCAGGTCAGCGGCCCTTTTGTTGTGCCTGATTGGGTTCTTGTTGGGAACCACTTCAATAGGTGGGTCAAAACCAGCCTGCAAATGGAAATTGCAAATTAATTACCTACACCTGTGCCTGAGCCGCCTCCAGCTCAAATTCAGGCTTGCACAAAATAAAGGAGCAACTCTAAATAGGATGGAGATTAAGATAATCATTTTGAGGTGCCTTCCTATCAAATGTAACAGGTCCCAGGAAAATAATCAAGTAACATAATAATCTAAAAGGCTCCTTTCCTTTTTTCCCCCCACCAAAATTATTACTTACAGGGCAACCATTTCTAGCACCAGCCATAAGTAAATGTAGTACATCTATATATATATAATTTCTGGGAGTGTGGGAATCAAGAAAACACACATAAAATATCTGGGGAAATCTCACTTCACATCTAATAAAAACTTACAGAATCGCGGACTAATAGATGGCCGTTGATAAAAAATTTCCCAGTATTTGCTTTATTTATGGTTATAAATCAATTCCTACTATCACATTTCTACAAATTATTATTTTTGTCTTAAATAACAATTTTATCGTTTTTGTAAGGTATTATTTAACATTTTTCATTAATATTTTAAAACTTATTTTTATTAAGTACTTATGTTGGGACCTCTTACATCTCTTATCACAATCCATTCACCAGTGTGTCAAGCACATTTGCACATATTCTGCCATCATCATTTTCAAAACATTCTCTTCCCACTTGA